ATATTTAACGATATTTTATATTATATATATATATTTTTCGATATTATCGATATTTTAACATATAAAGCAATACATAAAATTGCATCTTTACAAAATTGTTAATATATTTATTTATCGGATCTTTCGTTTTACATCCTTACTACCGAATTTGGGCTCTCATATTATTTACAATTTAAAAAAATTACTTTTATTACCTATTTAACACGATTTGTTTGTTTTTCCAGATGCCATCAGTGAGCGCAATCCACGGGTGATTGATGACACCCGAGCTAGGAAGTTGGCCAGCGATCTGAAGCGCTGCTCCTACTACGAGACCTGCGCCACATATGGCCTGAATGTGGAACGTGTCTTTCAGGATGGTGAGTCCACTCAAGAGTCAATCAAGGAGATCTCAAATCTCTAACCGTATTATTTTCCTAACGTGCTTTCAGCCTGTCAGAAAATCCTGTCGCAACGCCTGCCGTTGCCACCCCAGATGCAGCCGCCGAGACCAACGACCCCGCAGGGCAGTCGCCTAGGATTGGCGCCTTACCAGGCGCCACCCACCAACGGACAACGCAGCCAGCAGCAGCAGCTGCCCCTGCGGATGAGCACGGACTTCACCCAGGCGGAGCAAAAGCTCTGGTCCCTGCAGTCCGGAGCAGCAGCGACGACGGCAACCACCAACGAGAACAACAACATAACCAAATACAATCCCGCAGCGGCCAGCTCCCTACTCCAAGGCGACTGCTCGCAGGTGCAGCTGAGGGACCCACGCGACCTGGCGCCGCCGCCGGGCAAGGAGCTGCCCACGCCCACCTCGACTCCGACGACTAGCCGCAAGAGCCGACGGCGATCCAACCTGTTCATCCCATCGTCCTCGAAGAAGGCCGACAAGGAGAAGGAGCCAAAGAGCAGCGAGCTGGGCAGTGGACGCTCCATACCCATCAAGCAGGGCTACCTCTACAAGCGATCGAGCAAGTCGCTTAACAAGGAGTGGAAGAAGAAGTATGTGACGCTCTGCGACGACGGCAGGCTCACCTACCATCCCTCGCTGCACGACTACATGGACGATGTGCACGGCAAGGAGATTCCGCTGCAGTACGTCACTGTGAAGGTGCCCGGACAGAAGCCGCGCGGCTCCAAGAGCATCATCACGAACAGCGCGCTGACCAGTTCGCTAATGGCCAACGGCCAGAGGACACAAAATGCGCTCAGCGACGGCATCGGTTGCCTGACGCTGGCCAAGGACAATCAGCGCAAACTGAGCGAGAAACTGTCGCTGCTGGGCGCTGCACCAGGAGCTACTGGCGCTGGGGCCGAGCCCCTGAAGTCGAACAGCTCCCAGCAGACGAGCGGAGACGAGGGCATTGCCATGTCCAACTCCAATTCGCAGACCTTCATTGCCGGCGAAGCGACGGCCGCGGCAACCAGCAAATTGGAGGCCCAGACACCGAACGTGAAGAAGCGACACCGCCGGATGAAGAGCAGCAGCGTGAAGGCGACTGAGGCAGACGACAATGACGGCTACGAGTTCTACATCGTCTCGCTGGACTCCAAGCAGTGGCACTTCGAGGCCGCCAATTCGGAGGAGCGCGATGAGTGGGTGGCAGCCGTCGAGCAGGAGATCTTCAAGAGCCTTCAGAGCATCGAGAGCACCAAGACCAAGCAGGCAACCAGTACCGACTTGGCCGCCATGCTGGCGATTCGCCAAAGGGTGCCAGGAAATGGATTCTGCGTCGACTGCGGAGCACAAAGTAAGTTTAAATTAAAAATTAAAAACCGCCCAGTTAGCTATAATTTAAACATTATTTTACTTACCCTTCACAAATGTTCTTTGCAGATCCCGAATGGGCTAGCTTAAATCTGGGCGTGCTCATGTGCATCGAGTGCTCGGGCGTGCACCGCAACCTTGGCTCGCACATCTCGAAGGTCCGCTCCCTGGGCTTGGATGACTGGCCGTAAGTAAACCGAAGCAAAGAAGGAGCTTCTAAGTTTGGAACTAATTTTCTTCCCCTCTAATTTAGGTCTCCACATCTCAGCGTAATGCTGGCCATCGGCAACAGCCTGGCCAACTCTGTCTGGGAGGCGAATACGAGGCAGCGGGCCAAGCCCACGGCGCAGGGCAGTCGCGAGGACAAGGAGCGTTGGATACGCAGCAAGTACGAGGCCAAGGAGTTTCTCACCCCACTCAGCAGTGGATCCTCGGCGCATCCGGGCCAGCAGTTGATCGAGGCCGTCATTAGGGCCGACATGAAGTCGATAGTCTCGATTTTGGCCAATTGCCCCTCGGAGGTGACCAATGCGAATGTCAGTGCCCGGGATGTGCGCACTCCCCTGCTGCTGGCCTGCGCCATAGGCAATCTGGCCATAGCACAGCTTCTCATCTGGGTAAGTCTTCTTGGGGGAAAAAGCTTAAGGCGGTGTACTTACCAGGTTTCCCTTTCACAGAATGGCGCCAACATTAAGCACACGGATCACGAGGGTCGTACCTGCCTGGCTTACGCCCGAGCAGCCCAGTCCCTGGCCACCGCCAAGTCGATTAAGGCTGCTGCAGCTGCGCAAGCGGGTACAACGATCCCCGCACCGGCACCGCCCGCCGCCAATGGTGGCATACCGGCTCCCCAGTACAACGTCGAGGACACGACTGCCTTGGTGGAGCTCCTGGAGGGATTGGGCTGCCCCGAAGCGGCACCGCTGACTGCGAGCGGCACCCTGCCCCGCAGACGGGACACGCTGGGCACGCCCTACGAGAAATCCGTGTCCGGTGTGATCTGAATAGGCATAGTTCAATTTCAAATAAGCAAATCGCGGATTGTAAAATGGTTTAGATTTTTTGTTATATATACGTAATGCAATTAGTTTAAATTCCAACGCGGTAAATTTGTATAGCGTTTAATCTGTATAGACTTTACAAATGTTGTGCAAATGTTTTTATTATTATTTGGCGAACGTTGAATGAGAAAATTCACAAGTTTTATTTATGTTTCCTTTTAGTTTGTTTAGTTGCTAAGTGAATCAAAAAACAAAAGAAAAGTCTGTACAGTCTTGTTGTAATCTCAAGTGTATAATTTATTATTTCGAATTACGTACTACTTATTATTATTATTGTTTTAATCGTGTGCAGGTTTTTATGTCGTTTGCAAAACAACAAATTAGAAATATTATTTGTAATTATCGGTTTAAATCAGTAGATGGCAAAGACTTGACTCCCGAAAGTAAAAGCTAATATATACAATATACAATAGGCACAAGCTGATGCAAGCATACGTAAAAACAAAATGGATCTAAGATTAAAGCCAAAAACATATTTACCATATATACATACTATAGTTGAAATTGCTTGATAATCGTTTAAATCAAATGAGCACGCCCGACATGTAGCTTATGCTGAACCAAACTCAAAAACAAACAACATTTTTGATAAACTACTAAATTGCAGACAAGAAAATCCAAAACACAAATTAGTTGAGCGGATAATTGAATCTGTGTAGACAGCAAATTGAAAGTATTTCAAACCTAATATACAACATAGTTTTAAATCAATCTATAAATATTATTATATGTATACACCCCCCCTATATTGTGTACGATTCAAGTACGAACTACAAACCACACAACGTGACAAACTCAATCTAATTGGAAGGAAAAGTATAGCACCCAAAAATCACAAAAAAATCTACAAAAAAGAAAGCCCTTCAAATAAAAATCTATTAAACATTTTAAATATTTATTTTTTGGTGGAATTTAAGTAACTGGGATTAAAGGTGACATTAAAACCGAAAATCTGAAATAATAAAAAAAACATATCTCAAAAATGATGAAAATATGTTGAAAAATAGCCAAGTTATAATTTCTTTCTAAAATTTATCGAACATTTGTATGGCAGCTATATGATATAGTTATGTTATGATATAGTATATAGAAGACTATATCGACGCATTTCCGCGAAAGTATCGTATGTGGAAAAATCAAATTTTACAGGAGAAGCTTTTTTCTGATTTAATCTCTTAGGGAGCACTAGAGAAAAGACAAAATTGAAACTTAATTTTTATCGGAACTATAGGGCTTTCAGTTATAATATTTCACAGGGTAGTGAGACATTAGGTGCCTAACAATTTTGCATTAAGATCTCAATTTCGAAAAAAAAGCGACATACGATACTTTCGCAGAAATGCGTCGATATGCAAAGTTTCATTCAAATAGCTTTTAAACTGAGGGACTAGTTTGCGTAGAAACAGACAGACGGACATGGCTAGATCGACTCGGCTGTTGATGCTGATCAAGAATATATATACTTTATAGGGTCGGTAACGTCTCCTTCACTGCGTTGCAAAACTTCTGACTGTAATTATAATACCCTGCAAGGGAATAAAAAAATTCAAAGTTGTTTGTTTTTAAATAATATAAATGTAACTCCCATTGTACTTTGGCCACTGTGACAGCAGCATCAGCGCCCGGTTTTAACCTCCGGACCCCGGATAACAAAGTTCCCAGCGGAGCCATGTCGAGAATGACCGGACCGGAGGCTGCTGCTTGGATGGCAGGCATACAAAATGAAGTACAATTTCTATGTGGCGGCACAGTGATTCACAAACGTACATAGTATAACGTACAACGTATATGTATATACATACATATGTATATATATGTATGAATGCATATGTGTAAACAAAAATTAGTAACAAATTAATTGGAACCCATGCACTTCAGGGTGGCAGTTAATTATAATATTCAATTTTTTAGCCATAATTTGTTCTTAAAAATGCAAAGTTTCGAGTTGTTTCAAAGAAATTCTTATATGTTTAAATTTTAATAAAGTTTGTTAACGATGGAACGCATTTTATTATGTATTTTGTTTATGTTACTAAGTGGACCTATTCCACGAATTTCGTGCTAAAAGTTCAATAGGGCAAAGGTGAGACATACCAAATTTTAAAACGCTGATAAGCGGTTTTAGAGCACTTTTCGTTCGACGTATCGCACTCTGCTCGATTTAGTTTCTTCCAGCTGGCAGCAAGATGCAGACGTTATTTTGGCCGAGTTTGATCATCGGGTTCCTGATTCAAAGGGGCTCTGCACGACTCTTGGACGACAACTGCAAAACCTCAACGGGAATGAGAATTTCGAATGGCGAAAACGCTGAACTGGAGGCTGCTGCTTGGATGGCAGGCGTAAGTAATGAAACACATTTTTTATGTGGCGGCACTGTGATTCACAAACGTAAGTATATGTATTTATACTATATACATATAACAAATTAATATACAATTATTTTGTTTCTATTAGGATTTGTTTTGACGGCCGCTCATTGCATTAAAGATAAAGGCAAATTGTAAGCACCCTTAAAGCTCATTATATAAAACAATAATGATAATATTTCATAATAATATAAAATAATAATATTGCCCACAGATACGTGAGATTGGGAGCGTACAACCTAGCGCTCCATGTCGTAGAGTACAGTGTCAGCTATGCGGTGTTTCACAGGGAATACTCTTACGAAACGGGCCAAAATGATATTGGCCTTCTTCAACTACCTCTCGATATTGTGTTTACTGGTAAGTCTTAACTGGTTAATCGCCCCTAATGGAGCTTAGTTTTGTTTTCCTCTCCGCATGGCAAATCTATCCAATCTGCATTGATTTAAGTCCCACGGCGAAGAGGGAAGTAGAGAATGCTAACACATTCGATGCCTATGGCTGGGGAAAAACGAGGACAGCCAACATAAGTGCAATTCTTCAGAGAGTCACACTCGATCACTACGATCGCAGTAGGTGCAACAGGATAGGTCGTTTGCCACTTACCTTAAATCAGATTTGTGCTGGGTCCTCGGACAGAGACACCTGTGATGGCGATTCTGGCGGTCCGCTAATCCAAAAAGTTAATTATAATGGCACTCGACATTTGACGCAGTTTGGAATTGTAAGCTATGGTTTAAAATCATGCGAAGGACTGGGGGTCTATACCGATATCACAAGCTATGCTGACTGGATTGAGGAGAAGATTGAAGCACTATATCCCGAGTATTCCCGGCAGCCTTCACTCGCTGGTAAGAATTTTGAAAATATTTTAAGTGGTTTCGCCATCCTACACACCATTATGTATTTCATTGGCAGGCATCGCCAATCCGGTCTCCATTAGACCTCCACCTGAAACAGCTGTTTTCGGTGTCGAGAACTTTGGTCGAGCCCGATTATTAACCGTACCATGCGGAACTTCACTGAGTACGAGAATTATGAATGGTACGAACGCCGAACCGGAGGTTGCTGCTTGGATGGCCAGAATACATTATGAATCTCATTTTATATGTGGCGGCACCGTCATTCACAGACGTGAGTACATATACTTTCACTTACTTCATTTAGGTAACAAATTAATTGAGGTTTTATGTCAGGCTTTGTATTAACCGCCGCTCAATGCTTAAAAAACAGACATGAAGCAACCCTGTAAGTATCTTAACATGCTTTCGATTCAATATAAAACTTATAATATATTCGTACTGTTTGCAGAATTGTGAAGTTGGGAGCATACGACATACGGGGTTCAACTCTGGAGTATGGTGTCAGCAAGACGATTATTCACCATGAATTCGACCGAGAAGGATTAATTAATGATATTGGCCTCCTGCTACTATCACGTGATATTGAGTTTAGCTGTAAGTGTTATCAAGTTTTATCGCTTCCAATGAAGCTTACTATGTTTTCTTCTCCGCAGTGCATGTCTATCCGATCTGCATTATTCTGAATCCGGAAGTTAAGAGCAAAGTCGAAAGTGCATACACATTTGATGCCTATGGATGGGGAAAAACAAATGAGAGCAAAATAAGCAACATCCTTCAGAAAGTCACACTCGATCGATACGATCGCAGTGAGTGCAACAAATTATTTGAAATTTCACTTCCTTCAAGTCAGATCTGTGTTGGATCTAATGTTGGAGGCAGCTGTGATGGAGATGGTGGCGGTCCCCTCACAAAAAAGGTAATTGTAAATGGGCTTCAACGTCAAACGCAGTTCGGGATCTTAAGCTTTACAACACGTGCATGCAGTTTTGTAGGAGTTAATACCGATGTCACATGTTATGTTGACTGGATTGTGCGAAAGGTTAGGGGATTAGATGATATTTTCTCATAAGAAATATTGACAAATAAATACAAAAATATTGCGAAGTCAATTTGAGTCCCGAAGTGTTTAATACTATTAAGTGAGAGGGAGCATACGACTGCTTTTAATGAAACAACAGGTCTCAGTGCAGCGAGCTTGTAACTGATTCACCCCTTGCCATATCTATACCAATACCATCAAGTACGCACTATGACTCCGGAACTGTCGCTGCGCAGAAATCGCATTGGCGGATTAAACTGCTGCTTCTGGATCATTCGAACGACTGGAAATCTAAATCCATGATTGGTTTCCCGTGTGTTCTCGGGAGCCATCACCCACAGTGGTTGCGCCCATAGGAAAAAAATTAAAAAGGTCAAAAAATATATGCGAAAATTAACAAAATTGTCTCTAAAATGTCAAAATTTCTTTAGGGCAGACGGGTTTTGTTGGCTAGAGAGGTTTGATCTCGATTATTTAATAGCAGTGAGAGTATATAGCAGACTATATGCAAAGTTTCATTCAGATAGCTTTACAACTTAGGGACTAGTTTTCGTAAAAACTGACAGACGGATATGGCTGGATCGACTCGGCTGTTGATGCTTTACTGCGTTGCAAATTTCTGACTGAAATTATAATACCCTGCAAGGGTATAAAAATGGACAGGGCTAAAGATATTTCGTAAAATATCGATAATTTTCGATATTTTTTTAAAATGCTAAACTATGTATGTGTCCGAATTTTTTAAGACCTCATTTATTTGTATAAAAAATTATATTTTTAAAAAGTTCCCCGAGAATATTAAAATGTGTAGCAGTAAATAATCAGAAAAAAACATTAAGTATTATTATTATTTGAATAAAACTCTTGAATTGTCTTGTGTCTCCTAAAGGAAAAGTACCACTATTACTCAATCATCTTATATGTCTTCAAGTGAAACAACAAATATGTGGTTGGGCGCTTTATTTATTCAAACAAATTTAACAAGCTCTCAATTTTGGAAACAGTTAAAGTGATGCAGAATTTTTGGATACATATGTATGTGCGGCATTTTCGGTTTTTTCTTAATGAGAGGAAATTGCATTTTTTGGGGCTCCCACGAAACGAGATTATTTTTAGGTCTGCATTATAATGTAAGTTGTTATACATATATTGTTGTTTATAGAGAAGATGATCACGTAGTTCTGAGCGTGAAAAAAATAAATAAATTTTGCTCCGTCTGTAAAACCGAGAACGAAACAAAAACACTGCAGGAAAGATGAAGAGTCACGGAAACCACTGAATTCAGCTCGAGACAGGAAAGGCAAACAAACCTCGGAAGCGAAGCCAAGTCCATCCATCCGCTATACCGCTTGCTTTCCTTCCTCGTGGCTTCCTCACGAAGATCTCTTGACCGTGAACCACTTAGGCATTCGCCTGCTATAAGGTTATCCTCGAAACATATTTTATTTTGTTTTTTTTTTTACGTTTTTCCTTTTTCCATATTTTTTTTTTTATATCTTTGTTGTTGCCGTTTGTCCTTGTAACATTAGCTGGAGGTCGTAATCATTGTTGCCATCGAGTTGAAAGTGAACGATTTTTATTGGTAATTTGTTTTGGTTTGGTTTTTGTCCGAAACACAACAACAAGCAAATTCCGCGCAAAGCTGCTGCTGCTGCTGCTTGGGCTGGGCTGGGCAGGCGAATGGGATCGTGCTCGCCCACTGATGGTTAAAATGTCAGTTTGCTTTAAGGGGAAACACGGCTGCACGCACAACCGAGGCTGCAGCAGCGATTGCTGGTTTGGTTTTGCCGTCGCTCTTCGCCGGCTGTCGTTAACTTTGTGGAACTCCATGTCGATGTGTGCGTGTACAGGGAGAACTCGCTCACCTGCACCCGTTTTTTGCTTGAATTGCATCTGGTCTGTAGTCGCCTTTGCCGCTTTGCCGCCTTAGCGCCCGCTACCGTTGCCGCTCTTCTAAGGCCAGCTCATTTTTTGTTTGCCTTGAACTTGGCGTAGAAGCTCTGGATTTGGGCATGGCGCACGGGTATCGAGTCCAGGATGCCCGTGTAGCTGAAATTCTGCTGCTGGCGGTTCTTCTCGTGCAGATTATCGCCCGACAAGTAGGTGACGACGTTCTTTTGCACCTCGCTGACGTGCGGATCGGCATGGTTGGCCACCAGGTGATTGCAGAACTGGGCAATCTGCAGGAAAACCGAAGCGTCACGATCTGCGGAAAGAACCATTAGTTGGCATATTTCGATGTCCGATAAACGTTGGCCGAACTCACCCATCTTGCGAGATATCTTCAACAGGGACAGCGGCTGGCTCTCGTTATCGCGCTGGGCTCGCAAGTGGCGGTTGCCGTGCTTGAATTCCTGCTCGAGCCAACGGATGACATGGCGAACATTCTCGCTGCGCTTCTTCAAGTCATCCAGTTCATTGAGCACTGAAAGTGGAAGGAAAAAAGATTAGCTTGGGCAAGGGTAAAAGGTTAATTCGGTGCAAAACGAGTCACTCTTCTAAAAATTGTAGTTTTGAAAAGGCTCAAGTTAGCTTATAGTAACACAATATTTAAACAATTTTGTGTTGAATTTTGTATTGATAAATATTTAGAGGTATAAAAAATTGAATACCCATACCATTTACTTCCTTAGTTGAGTTTTCTAAGCGCTATACTTAACCAACTAGGAATAATATATATACACCCAGCAGACAAAAACTTTGTAAAAAATATTAAAAACGGAAGTTTTACGGATCTCAGGCGGACAAAATGGCCGATTTAAGGCTCAAGAACGATAATATAAGTCCTGGGGTGTGGCAGCAAAAGCTATTATTTTCGGAATCCGAATAAGATTTCGATTGCGGGCCTTTTACAATATCAATATCATACTCGTCCGCTATTCATGCGTTTGCCCGTCCGTTTTTGAGCATTTAGCGAAACTAATGCGGAAATTCAGAATCTTTGGCCGTCTTTAATCCGCACTAAGTCCGCTGTTTGTCTGCTGGGTAGTTGAAGTATGAGATATGCAGAGGCACTCAGCAGTATGGGTAAAATTAAAATGATTTAACTTATTTAAAATGAATGCAAAAACTTATAAAAATCTTAAATTAAACAAGGTCGTAGGCAAAAGAAACGAAATGTGGCTAGGAACAATACAAATTCAAATTCAATTCAAAGTCGCAAATGCAACATTCCGCTTCATCGACCTCTTCGTTCAAACTAAACTCGATAGAACCACTTGTCGGAGCACTAACCTGCATTCGGAATGAGGACAATGCACTTCTTCGTCCTCACCAGCGACTTGACAATACCATTGTATTCGGTCAGTGCCTTCGAGTCAACCACCACAAATGGGGACATCACCAGGTGGGCGGGACTGTCGCGCAGCTCCTCCTCGAGCGTCTCCACCTCATTTTGCAGCCAGAGCTTGCCCATGAGCTCGCACTTCTTCGACATGGCCTCCGAGCGCTCCTCGTCGGCCCCCGAGCTGGACTGCACGTTTAGCTTCTCGATGACGCTGTTGGTGGTGGTAGAGGCGGAGGTTCCCCCAGCCACCGAGGTGCTCGTGGCGCTGGCTATGACCGCAGCTGCCTTCTCGGCATTGCGATTCCGCAAGTAACCCTTGCGCGGCACCTTGCGGCACTCCTCCACGGTGTCCTTTTCCTCGTTGCTGGTGTAGCTCTTGCGGACAATGCCGTTCTTGCGGTCGGAGTAGCGACGGGTGCGTCCCTCGTTTCTCTTGGTTCGGTTGGTTTTCGGAGCGGTGCGACGTTCCCGGCGACGCGAGCCGCCGCCCTTCTTCTCCTCGCGCTGCTTTTTCTTCTGGGTCTCAGTGAAGCGACGCGTCTTCACGCAGAATCTGTAGTTGAACTTCTTCTGTTTGCAGATGAAGAACCCGAAATCGACCATTTTGAAAATCCGAAGTATCGACTCCTCCTGGGCGGTGACCCGCTCCCTTATGATTGTCTCCCAGTCCAGCGTGATCTGGGTGCTCTGGAAGATGTCGAAGTTCTTGAAGGCAAAGTCCTCGGTAAGCGGGACATTGGCCCTCACATCGAATAGCTCGACGAGGGAGTCGCGCACATTGGCGGTGGTCAGCAGCTCACGCTCAAAGTAAACCTTCCTGGTGAAGACGTCGATGTTGCAGTAGTTCAGCAGCTTCATGATTTTGTGCACAAACTCTGGATTTGAGTGGTAGCAGCCGATAAGTATCTCCGGATTGATGCGCAGCCAGTCGAAAAGCATTTTCAGGGCTCTGATGGTCGGCTCATTGTGCAGACAGTCGATGACGATGTTCGGATTGATTTTTGCGTACTTGTTGCGGTAAACTAACTTCTTCGGCGGTTCTGAGAAGCTGGTGAGGGCCACTGGTGGTGCAATTTGTGGCCCCTGCCCCTCTTCTGACTTTTTGGTCTGAGTCTCCTCGGCGCTCTTAAAGTTCAGCTGCAGCACTTCAAAGCTACGCAGCAATTCCTCAGAGTCCACTTCCTGGGAGTTGGGACGACGCTCCTCCACATCCTCGGGGTACACGAGCTTCTCTTCCTCGATGACCACATCGTCGTTATCCGAGTATACTCCGCCACCGCCGCCAGATTTGCGCTCCTTCTTGAGGTAAGAAGCTGGAATGGAAAAATTGATGTAATTATTGGGGATAATGGTAATTGGTCTCCAAGCCAGACTCACCTGTTTCGTAGTGCTCCTCTCCGCACGGATGATCTCCTGGATCTGCTGCATCAATGTCACTAAAATCGGTGTCGAAATTCGAACTGAGATCCGTGTAGTCCTCCTCATCGCTGTAAAAGTCCGTGTCCAGCTCACTTTCGCTGTCGTAGCACGAGCTATCGTCCGACTGGGCTATCTTGCGACGGCGCCGGCGAAGGCGCATTCCACGGCGCTTGCTCTTGCACGAGAGCGGGGTCTTCAGGTCGGACTCCTTCGCCTCGTCACTGGAGCGCGTGGAGACTGCCTCGCCGATCTTATCGCCGTCAGTTGCCTCCTGGGTCTTCGCCTCTTCCCCGGAGTGCTGGCTATCCCGTGAGTCGGAGCTGCAGTCCCTCAGCGAGTGGGGTCGGGGAGGCATCAGCTTCTTGTCCTTGCGCTCGCACTCCCCGACGGCGGCTAGCCAGTTCTTGTACTCGTTGCGAGACTTGCGCACAACCGTGTCGAACTCCTGGAAGCGCTGTTCGTACTCCGCCTG